TGTGGTATATAGGTGAACATGTTTGTTTTTTTTTTCACCTGCTCACTGCTTACTGGAGGTTTGGGAACAGATACTACTATATAGTTACTATAGTTGTGGAGACTGACGCGCCAATGTTGTTGCTATTGGTTTCCGTACAGAGACTGAGGCGTCAGACTTAGCAGAAGATCCGGTTTCCTATATAATTAGACTCTTTCATATAACAATGCAATATCATACCCTCCCATTCATATGAAGAGGCTCTTCCATCAAAATGGGAGGGTTATCAATCATGAGTCTACATAATTGTACCATGCCGCTCCAGCGGTTTCGACCCAACAAGCCCAACAGCCGAGTGGCCGCCTGTCACGCTGGCTGTACCTCAGTGAGGACGTGTGGCACCGTGTTTTGTTTTTCTCGAGGGCGAAGATGATTCCGAAGAAGTTCAGGTCCGGCGCCAGACATTTGGGTTACCCCATTCAACTGAGAAAACCCAGGTAGTTCTGAATCCAGCCGCCCTGAGATCGGATCAAACCGTTTCGTGGCCAAAAGTGCAAAAAAAAGAGTCGTGCCTCCTGTGGTCTGTTCCAAAAGGATCCCGTCGTACATTCTCAGAAGGTATGACTGCCTCCTTCCTAACTGTACCTGAGAAGGTGCGACTGGATCACCTGAGAAGGTGCGACTGGATCCCTAAGGGTGCTGGCCCTTTGATCCTCCGCGGTTGGAAGGATCGAGGATCCAGATCCGACGGTCAAGGCATGGAACGACAAAACACATCAACAGCAGATGGACAAGAGGATATCAACATCAGATGGTTTCAAGAGATGAAACATGATAAAAGGGGTTACAGATGTAGCCCTCAACAAATCTCAATGATGAATCACAGGTGGCTGTGCTACGTCTAGGTGTGCTAGTCTTAAACTTGCCGGGGCGTCCGAAAGGTGCTGCTCACACAGCGGCGACTTGTTTCTTGTTGGGGAAGCACTCATCATGCACCTAGAAGTGCCCCTTTGTCATTTTCAGTGCACAAAACAGCAGAGAAGAGTGTAAACCAGCCGTATCCAGCAGTCACAAAGGGGTGCTTAATGGAGGGTAGGGTGCCCAGAACATCCACTCACTTAGGGACTAAACACCACCCCTTTGTGACTGCTGGAACATTCTTTTTTTGTTGTATTTTTGGTTATTTCGGTTTTTCCTCCAAACACCTCGGCCTCAAATAGCAACTGTTTTGGGGAGCCCATCCTGCGGATCTGCAGCGGTGCGGCAGCCGTTCACTCTAGCTATGTGGACCCAGGTGGCTACACCATGATCCCGAAGTAGTGTAGGGGCCTACTGTAGGGTAATGTCCAAGCATTATCCGGACAGGACACCAAAAGAAGACTCTGGTACATTTGGTGCATGTCCCTTCACTTCCCAAAAGAGCTCAAACAGGTTCGACTCAGCCAGCGCAATGCGCTGCGTCGATGTGTTGGAGCTTGTTGGGAGACAAAGTGATGACGGTGGACGCACCGGTCGTCCAAGGCCTCATCCCTGTTTGATATACTAATTCTAATTTGTTACTACTAGTAAGGCACTTGTTACTACTAGCGAGGCACTTGTTACTACTAGCGTGGCACTTGTTACTACTAGCGTGGCACTTGTTACTACTAGCGTGGCACTCTAGAAAACCCCATTCGATGTCTCTATGTTGGGTCTGTCCGAACGAACACCTGGAAGGAGCCGTCAGGTTTCACAAGAACATCACGATTTTTGAACTAGGCCTGCAACCTAGCCATCATCATCCACTGAGGCCCCTGGTAATAGGATAGACCCAGTCTCTATGGAACCAGGAACAACCCCCACCAGATCAAATCCAGTCAAGCCCGGTGGATCGCAGACCTTTTTGTTGGCTCAATGGCACGCTTCCAAAACGCACCAGTATTACAGTGGTGAGAACATATGCATGGTATGTCTAGTTAGTGGCTAGTGGATCTGTATATTCTTGACATGAAGACAGTATAGTAAGGAGGACCATTTGAGACAACAACCATCCAGAATCCAATCGATGACGGTGAAGGACGGACCGATATCAGCCCGACAGTACGATCGGTGTTGCTGATCCGGTGTTGCTGATAGGTTTAATCCCCCAATTTGGGGAATACTTAGATGACTTAGGTCTCATGATTTCCGCAGATGGCATCAGACCTTCAAAGCCAGCAGGATGTTTGACCCTTCCTGAGCAAACCCTGCACTTCTCAGCTTAAGAAGGCCTAGCTTGCCAACTTGCCCTTTTGCACCGGGTGCGTAGAACCAGCCTCCATTCAACCCCAGCCATCACCAGTTTTATCGCACCTCCGTTCACCAACCGCACCTCCGCTCTCGTCCGTGAAGAAACCATGGGGGGCAGAGATTTGAGTCTCGGTTGCACAGAGCGGGGAGGGCTGGGCAGAGGAGCGCCTGGCTTTCGGCGGGAGCACCCGTTGGTGAGCACATGGTCTCCATCTTCAATCACCCGTTGGACTGGTATATGATAAAATAATGTGTTATGCCGCTATGCCTACATTGACCCCTCAAACCACTCCGAGGTAGGTAAATATGTCATACATGCATGGTTTGGGTCATATCCTATCATATCCAAGGAAGCTTCTTCAGGAAGGAACCACGTGCCGAAACGGGAAACATGAGGGCCGAGTCTCGCTGGTGTTCCTCTTGCCTTCGTCAAAAGGAGCAGACCGAGTTGGATGGAGTGAGACAAGCCTGTCTGGATCTTGAAAGTTCTTACCATTGGTTTAGTCTTGTTCTTTGGGGATCAACAAGATCTCTTTTTGGGGGGTCCCAGGGTCCACCACCCCCAGTCACCTTCTGCCGAGCGGACTGAGAGTCAGGGAGTGGAGCCGTCCGTGACCAGAGGTGGATGAGCCGAGCATTTGGGAGAAATCCTCCTCGGTTTGGGCGGTTTGGGCTGCGGGGTCCATGCCCCTTTGAGGGTTCCTATAACTTCTAGGTGATCGTTTCGAGATGTTTCTTTCAACCTCTACTTGGGATGATTGAAGACTAATACTTTTCAAGTTGAAAGCACCAACCAGACTTGCTTTGAAACCGAGGCCCGGCCCGCCATGAGGATTGCTGCCACTTGGCGGGCGCAAGACCGCGGGGGTCAGTGGCTTGTTGGTCTGTTTGGTTGCACACGGCGTTCGAGCAGACCGTAAGCTAGAAGGCTAAGCGAGATTACTGAAAGACGATCTCAATCAAGTGCAAACTAGACATGGGGGGAAAGAATAAAAACATGTTTCCCCATGTCCAGTTTGCAGTTGCCATAGATATGTTGTTTAAATTCTTGGCGCGATGACCCCAAAGAGGCAGCCTTGTCATGCATTATCAGGAAGAATAATTAAGTAGACACCAATGTTACTGTTCATTTTCACAGGGTTCCAGCTTGTCTTGGTGTGTCTTCGCTGCTCCAAAAAGAAGGGGGGCACTGGAGTTGAACCGGTATTGATCCTCATGCGTCGGCTGCGTCGGCTGCGCCAGGTATTCTTATAGCGAATCATTCATTCACGAATTGTGTCATTGTGTTCCCATCCATTCCAGCATGTTCAATTGTGGATCACCCCGTGTTTTTCTCCATGTTCCAAAGATGGACCCAAACAGCCATCTGACCAGCTGTTTCACTTCAATCCTTCGCCCATCTTCACCCCCCCAGCGCCATCGCGCCATCTCGCTCTGAAGCACCAGCCACCGGTGCCCAGACTTCGGACCCTTGAGACCCGGATGGATTCCCACCACTTCCGGTCTCCCGACCCTGGGGTCGGACCGTACCACGGTCAGACCGAACGGTCACCGCAATAAACCCTCTTCCGGTTGGAACCGGAACCCGACCGCTTCGACGAGTTCAGTCGTTGGGTCCGAGCCGGGTCCGGTCACTGGAGACCCGGAGACCGGGCTGAGTCGAGTTGAGATTTCCTCATGAAACTATAATTCACGGTGAGTATGACTTTGTTAGTCCGCCTTCCCGTAGTGAATTCTACCTTTTGTCTCTCATGTTGGCGGTTTTTCAGCCGATCCGCGCCTCGTGCTTTCGCCGCTTAATGGGTCCGCTTTAGACGCGCCTCGTGGTTTCGCCGCTGTTCGTACCTCCAAGGTCTGTGGCTCCTGCTATGGCGAGCTCGACCGGGTCTACGAGGCGGTCAGGCGAGCGGATGGAGAGGGTGGATGGGGCGCGTGGTCGGATGTCTCGGTTTAACCCACGTGGGGGGAAACGCGCCGTGGGAGGTTGAGGGAAGGAGGTGGTGTCTTATAAGATTTTATACCATTATGATGCTCACTAGGATGCAGTATCGTTCATTTTTATGGCTCCAAGTAGAGAAATCCCTTATAGTTCCCAGTGGATTTCTCCAAAGCCAGGGCCCTGGGAGGCAGGGGATGATGCGAGCAGCCGAGGTTGGTCCAGCACCAACCAGAAATACGGTCTAGATGGGTGAAGGAGCGCCGGTCTTGCCCGTTTTTTTTTTCCATGTGGATGCTTGAATACTCTTGAACCAGCAGTCACAAAGGGGTGCTTAATGGAGGGTAGGGTGCCCAGAACATCCACTTACTTAGGGACTAAACACCACCCCTTTGTGACTGCTGGAATATGCTTTTGTTTACACACTGCTGGGATGATCCGCCCAACAACTGTGTTGATGTTGACCGGCCTTGTTTCTGATTTACGGCTTGCAATCCCAGGTCCACAACCTGACGGACTGGCGCCGACTGGACGGGTCAAGCAGCAGATGGTCCAATCCAGTTTGGGATTACCAGCCCTGATCTCCGCACCATGGGACTCGAAGAGTTGGAGGTCAGGCTTCAGGCCGCCTCCGCTGCGAAGCATTTTGCAAGTCCAGCCTGACCCAGGTCCAAACCTGGTCGACTTGACCTCCTTGAGCATAGTGTTTTTGGATGACCAACACAGCTACAATGAGATCAAACTGACTTGTACGTATATTTTGGGCCACTGGAGAGCATATACTGATGCCAAAATTCCAAACCCTGACGGCCATGCTATGCCCGAGTCCAGGAAGTTGGCCAAGCAGGGCATTCACATCGAGTTGCTGATTTGCTGCGGCGACTTCATGTGGCTCGGGTGGGAGTGGGAGTGGACCCGCTTACGCGAGAACCCCGTGAAACATCCTAGGTGATTGGCCTTGATGTTTCTTGTATGGTGCATCCTTGATGTTTCTTGTTTGATGTTTCTTGATGTTTCTTGAACATCCTACGTGGTTGGTTTCTTGCATTTACATGGTATGGTTCTTGCGGACCACGCGATCGCGGGCTCTGAGTGGGTGATTGTCGTGCATTTACCTTGTAATTTACCTTGTAATTATCCACCGAGAATCTTCATCCATGGTGGACTAATCATGGGCACATAAAAAGCGCTATGTGATCTATGTGTCAAAGGATAGTCCAAGTTGCTATCAAAACAGAGTATATCCAGGTTTGGATGCAGCATCGTGACTCAGGGCAGCACGTACCATCAGTTAGTGCGATCAGGGTCACTGCGGTCACTGGAATGGAGCTCAGCAGGATCCGCTGCATGTACTGTGTATGATCACCGGCTGATCAGCAACGGCATTGAGGTTTAAGCCACGGCTTTTGAGAACCACAAAGCTCAGGTTGGTTGTTAGGTCGAGTCTGGCATGAGCAAGGGGCCTTGAATGCCTCCTCCTTGAATGGTCCAGTTGCGATGCAATATTGGATCACATTCTGGTGTGCAGTTTTGGAGCAAGTTTTCCCGCAACCTGTGACTTGGCTGGAGATTCCAATCTTCCAGCAGTTGCGGACATGGAACATGATCATCCTCAATGATCACGAAGCTGGACCGGAGTCTTTGAAGATAGCCAAGGCCACCATCATCACCACCTTCATCGGCACCATCACCATTGTAGTCTTTCGGATGCTGTCTGTTGCACCAGTACTACTGACCGGCCCTAAACTCAACATCCGCCGGTCGGACGGAGCATCGAAGAGGACCGTTTGTTAGGAGATCAAGGAAAATCCTGTTGGTGAACCACATCCAGGTTGAAGTGACCCTTTCTTCCCCACCTGTCAGGTGAGGGTTGTTAGATTTGATGTCAGCTCATGCCCTGCTCCTCCTGATTCTCCTCGTCCTTCTTGTCCTCCGCGCCGTGCGCCATCCTCAACCGCGACAAGTAGTTCTTTGGTGAAGTCTTTCGTTTTTGGATTTCCTGGGAATCCCAGCGCAAGAACCTGTCCTTTGAAGTTTTGCATGCGAAGTCACCAACGAACATATAAGCTTTATTGTATAGCTTCGTAGCTTGCCAACCAATGGAGGGAAAGTGACCTGCAAAAGGACCCGTAACCTGGGGCACCTTTGGGATAGTCGAACTAGGGTTCTTCAATCTTTGTTGGAAAATGAATGTTCCTAGACGATTGTGGCATGACGTTTGGCATGACGATGTGCTCCTCTGAGCCCGGCTCACCGGACAATGAGGTCAGTTCGAGATGAGCGACTTGGATGACGCGCGAGACTGACGCAGAAACACGTGCCAAACTAAAATGTGAAACACTGGCGTCGATTTGTTTGCAACTCCTGTGTTTTCGAAGAAGTGCGTGACACGATAAACACTGACTGACATGTACCTGACATGTGTTCAAGGGCATGCGTGTTCCGGTTGTATGTCATGTGCAGCCAAGAAGTTTCCTGCTGGCAGTTTGGTGGGTGCTCGTGTGGTTCTGGCTTGACTTGTGCTCTGCAACAATTGATCGAGACTAGTATGCTAACCCTTGGTCGGACTATGGAACCCACTATAGATGGGAGAATTGCCAAAGCAGGTGGTGTGTCTATCAGTGTCCCTGGAACCTTCAGGGTCTTCAGCACTGACCACCAGCATGCAGCCACCAGCCCATTCTCAGCCCCAGCCAGTGACCGACCCAAAACGGACACAAACATGTTCGGAACTCTGGGAGTTGCTACGGCTCTCTCAACATCAAACAGCAGAGCCCTTGTGAAGACTTAGTATTTTTATTGGAGTTTTTTTTTGGGGGGGGGACTTCCATTGTAAGTATTCTTTCGTGGGTGTGAGCTTCAAAAAATAACTCCCGTTCAGCCCAAACGTGGTATAAGCTGAAATTCCGTGCCAGTGGCTGGGTGGAACGCAAGTTTTACCATGACAATCTTTGAGCTGCACAAGCGGAAAGACACGTCATCAGTGCATGCTTTGTGTTGGGCAACAAGAGGCAGCCAACCTGGGGGGCCTTTGAATTTGGCTGCCGAAGCTGACCTCTTCACTTCAGCGTGCTCAGGATCGACTTGGAGCATGTTTGGGTGCCCCCCTCACATGCAGCACACGAAGGACTGACCGGAGCCAGCCGAAAGTGACCGGAGCGTTCATCACCAGTTGGCGATCATTCCTACCGGTGCTAGGTACGGTCCGGAAGTACATGCATCACTTGCAGCTTTCGTTCGTGGGATTGGGGGAAAGGTGGGGCCTGTTCGTTCGATGGAGTCGTTTCACGAATCGACACCGCGGAGGGCTGGGAGGGCTGCAGGAGTCTGTGGACATACTGTGGACATGTAGTACACCTGGCCACTTAGACACAAGCAAATCCATCTATAGACCCCCTTGGTACTCCCCAATCAAGAGGTCAGTTCTCAACTAAATTCACTTTGAAGATTTCACTATAAGGCTACATCACGCTACAGAGCTCCTCACAGATCCTCACAGCTACGTGATGGCTATGATGAAAGCTTATGAGGTGACCCCCCTTTCCTACCAAGCCCAGCAGTAGACAGTGATTGAAAACACATGCTGAGAATGGGCAGTCGGAGCTCCCATCACAAAGAGGAAAACTCCTAAACCCAAACCTGTTCTTTTCCATTCATGACCGATTCCCATCTTGGCCCTGTTGGTTCGAGTCGTGACACAAAACAGGCCCACGCTCTTGATGGTTGAAAGGCGAACTTCACCCCAGGAAGAGTGCCCCTTCAACGTCGAGTTGTTGTGGCAAAGGTTTCAGGTTCCAGCACCACCCAGGTCAATTGGTGTATAAGATGTTTATAGGACCCCCCCCTATTCCATGGTCTTTTCATGGTCTTGTCCATCCAACCACCACAATACCTATCGAACGGGGTCAACGGGTGGAACACCTGGATCAACGACTCTAGGCCCCCCCCCAGCGATCAATGCAGCGATCTTCCGAGCTGAACGGGCCGAAGCAGGATCCACCCAGGGGCCTCGAAGCGGCCGAAGGATCCACCAGACCCGAAGGATCCGGTGCCCTCCGACAGGAAGACCCCAAGGACTTCCCGAAGTACTTCGATGGGCGCGCTGAGGTGCTGGACGTGACTCTCTTCGTCGGTTTGGGACCGTTGACGTTCAACTGGGTGCAGCTTGATGGCTGAACGAGAGGGAATGAAGCGGTTGGTGTGTGTGTGTTTGTTATCCTCCATATATATATTCAGGTGCGAATTCTCAGAAAGAAAAAGAAACGACGATAGAGCACTATAAGGAGCGTTGTTTTCGACCAGAAGACTCCAAGCTTGATCGTATTGCGGTTCCATGAGCTGTTTCACGTGTTGTCACAGGAAACACCGCGCGCAGGCACCGGTGACCACTGTCTTCGTGGGTGGGCGCAATGAAGCTTCCAACCTGCCAGAGCACTCAGGGGGTGTTCAAAATGAAGAGTGTCCAAATCATAAGAGACGAACGGTCTCTTCAGTATGGAATCACCCGTTTGTGTTGATCACCTGAAAATAAGGAAACACCTTAAACTAAGCTTATAGTATCTTATAGTATAAACACATCAATTTTGGAGTGATTCATTCAAGCTCCGATGCATTAGAGGTCCGAATTGCCTAGCTGTGTGAAAAAGGCGAGTCGAGTCGAGTCGAAAACACGGCTGTTGACGAGAGGATCCAAGGGCTGTTAGTCTGTATTCCCATAGACTCCATGGGACAGCAGGACCTACTGCCCCAGACAGACCCTTTGCTGGCAGTCCGCCAGTCCTATGGAGTCACGTCGGGATTGGAAGACTTATTTACGCGCGCCTTGTTTGGATCACTGGGACACTACTACAACTAGATTACAACACCTCTAACCCTATTGATCCCTTGTTTGTTTGTATCCTCCGCCGTGGGCGACTCCCAGGCTCCGGGAACACTACTACGGTGGCTGGGTGGCCCCGCGTGACTGGGCTTCAGCGACGCGGACGGGTCGCGCGGGTTCTCGGTGACGGTGAGGCGACGTTGAGATGTCACCGTCCTGGACAGCGAAGAAGGAGAAACATGAGAAAACACTAGTAAGGCACTTGTTACTACTAGTAAGGCACCTGTTACTACTAGCGTGGCACTGTTGTTCCTAGTAGCAAACATTGTTATACCAGGAACATGATGACGGCATGATTGGCCGGGGGGTATACACCATGGTACACCTTGTGTTTTGATGTGTTGTTTTTTTCCAGAGTTTGGCAAGAACATGTTTTTTAGGATGTTTTTATATAGGTGGTTCTTGGGGCAAAATACGTTTCAAGCCTGGCCTTTGAAAGCAGGGCGTTTCTCGCGATGTCTCGCTTGGCTGACTCTGATCTGTCGGACCAAGAGTTCAAGAGGAGAAGTACCAACCAGATCAAGCAGATCCTAAGTAAACCACACTATCTATAGATTTGGTATACAACCATGGCAACCTACTTATATATAAATTAGATTGGCCAAGCAGATTTCGCTTGCTTCCCAAGTTGTGTCGCTTTTGTTGCTTGACACGGCGACTCCCCCAAACCATCCCAAACCCATTACCTGAGCTTCAAAAAGCCCCCAAAAAAGTCCATGTCATATCAATCCATGTCCATCCCATCTTAAGCTCCGTGGTGGAAACGGGTCGCAGAGCCACCGCTTCGCCGGGAAACGGAGGTAGCCGTCCCGGCCGTGGACTCGACCGTCACCGACCCCCGACCCCCGACCCGAGCCGAGGGATCTACTATCTGGGCCCCGCCGGTGTCGTCCGCTGCGGCCCCTTGCGCATTGCGGGTGTCGGAGGGCTCTTCGCCTCCAATGACTACTTCCGGGGGCGCCATGAGTGCCCGCCCTACACTGAGGAGATGAAGAGGATGAAGAAAAAACAATGGGATTTGACATGCATATTATGTGTGTGTGTGTCAACCCCTGTTTCGAAGGGCACTATTCTAGCTACTTCTACTACTTCAGCAACCAGACGATTTGTACAGAAAAAACTGCAGGGGGACAGAGCTCTCTGATGCTACTCTGTCCAACGAAGCTATGCATCAGAGAGGGAAGCATCCACCGGCCATGGATGTGTACCTGCCATTTAATTTGCTTTCCAAGTTTCACTTCTGGTTAAACATTCTGTTCGACCGACTCTGCACTTCTTTCCGTTGAATCAAGTCAAGTGCTAAGTATTCATTCTCCACGTTTCACCCATGTTCAAACATTCTGTTCGACCGACTCTGCACTTCTTTCCGTTGAATCAAGTCAAGTGCTAAGTATTCACTTAAAGGGCTAATGATCCCCGCGAGGAGCTTGAAATCGCGCTCCGCGGAGCAACCTTCTCAAGTGTGTGTTTGCCAAAAATTCCCAGCAGAGTCCGAGTGCTCGATCATTGTTTAAACAAAAGTTGGACTATGTTAGGCTTTATAACAGACTAGGTCACGTGCACAAACGATCATAACGCTACGATTGTTTGAGCCCAGTACAGCTTACCCAAATCAGTCCAATTCAATCATGTGTGTTTGAAACTGGCGAACAAAATCGGCTCCGAAGTTGCCCAAGATCAGTTCTTCCGCCCTCTTCCACCGGTGCCCAGAAATCGGGTCCTCAAAGGCGGGTCTTCCGCCTTCCTCCCGCCCACGGCCAGCCCGCAGGAGTTCAAGAAGAGCGCCTTCCGTGCCCGGGAGTGGGATGCTTGGCCGGGCCAATGCGAGACCGGCGGTGTGTGGAGTCGGCCCGACACGGCGCCAAATTCACTGGTGGGCCGGGGAGGGTTGATCAGTCCGAACTAGTGAGAGTTTCCATGTTCCAGATGTTCAAGGGGAATGGTTGCACTTGTTTTCTATATAATAAATGGAGTTTGGAGGGGTCACCCACATGTCGAGAGGGCACCAGCGGATTGATGGGAGTATGAAGCTGAAACCTCGTTGTGTTTGGAATTGCTGCGTTCAGGTGTGTTTTCTTTCCAAGCTCACTGACCACATGAATCCATGAAGGCTTGACATTGAGAAATGTGGACACTGATGCATGCAAACTATCCCAAGGGCTCCAAGTACACCCTGAGGTGTTTGGGGTGGGTTTCTGGGGTCTAAGCTGTTTATAGGAGGAGGTACACCAGGAGCCCAAAAGGGTATATGTATACCCCCTTCTCACATCCACCATGCCAGCGGTACAACTTACCCAGAAAAAAAGTGGATCACCTGCAAAATCCTTTCTGGGTTTACTGGGCTTTCCCCAGTCATTTCATGACCTAAAGAGGTGTTCAAGTTCGGTGAGCCGATCAGCTTCGCCTCGCCGGGGCCATCCAGGATGCCGCGCGGTTGGAGAAGCTGCAAGAGCCGGTGGATTTGGTCATCTCATATGACTGGCCTCGAGGACGGGGTCCCACGCCGGGTCCGGCACGGCACGGACCCGTGCGACGCGTACGCGTGCGGGCGTCCGTGGCTGGGTACGCTGCTGACCGGAAGGCGGACGGAGGAAGCCTAGGCCCACATGGATAGACCTCATGGAGCCTCATGGATGGGCGTGGGGAGTTCGATGAAGCAGGGAAGATCAAGCGGTCCTTGCTGTAGGTAGGGTTCTTCCAATAGTGTTTATCGCAAAAAATATCAAAAAATGGAGTTTGGACACCTTACAACACCATGTGCCTGCAGTGGTGTTCCTTGGCAGAACCCCAGAAGGTTATATAGTGATGTATGAGGTTGTATGAACTGTTTGTGTGTGTGTGTTTGTGCATTGTATTTCTTGGATGTTCTTTACGTTTTGGTCAAGTCAAATCCAAGCTTGAGTCTTCTCAACATCTCACATTCAAGCATGCATTTCGATTAGGGAGACCCCTAAGATCTCGACCCCATGGAAGGAGGCAAATCACCTCAAACCCATTGGGCCAGGGGGTCCCCTATTTAAAGCACACACCCCAAATGACTCCTCGGAAACTTCCCAGCCCGGACAGGAATTTGGAAGCATGGCCCTTACGAGACGCTCATCAAACAGCACCTTGGAGGTTCTTTCAGAAGCGTTTAGCCCTGGTAAAGGGGCCGGCCGACCAGAAGGAGCCTGGTTTTTTGGGGAAGATGTTCCATGCTTTGCCAGGGTGGAAGAAATCGGACATTCATATTTTTGAGTCAAGTTTGCATGTGCACTACACGTCTTTTTGCTGAACGTTGAAGGCAAGAACTGGGAGAGAACCAGAAGAGGGAGATGGAAGGCGTGGTGGGCGATGGGAAGTGAACATGCCAGATGTCCTGATTCAAGAGCAGTATATATAATGGCTAAAACAGCCAGCGCGTCATGTGCAATTCAGTACTTCCTTGAAATCACCATGAAATAACACATGGAAGCTGTGGAGTTCGCCACCTGCTCGGGGGCCATGCCATCGTAGCCATGCTCATAGCCGATGGATTTCGTGGACCTTCCATGGACCGGACCTGATAAACCGTGATGGACCTTCCATTTTGGGGGTGCATAGCCGATGGAAGTACGTGTTCCTGTGGTATCAGCGGTACAATCCGAATGCCTGAGATGGGGGCTGATCTTTTGTGGGAAGGAGGTGAAGCCTTTCATTAGTCATTGAGTGCATGATGCGGCCACGAACAAGCTTTTCGGCAAGAGCAAGAGAAAAAAAGGAAGAGGGTATGGTCTAGCCATGTCTAGCCTGTCGAGGCCTTCATTTGTCTCAGTTGAGATGGCACCCCTGTGGAAGATCCTGACACTTGAAACATCAACAGACTTGTGCTTAGTAGGGAATGAGGGAATGAACCACCCCTGTAGGCCCCTCTGGATCCATTCCCATATTCCCTATGAGTCGCACCAGTCAGTCAACCGTTGAACATGTCTCAAGCATGGCACGCTCCAGCAACATCCGTCCGTCTGCATGTGAGTTGACCCAACGACTGTGAAAGAAAGGTTCCTTCGGATTCCATCCACTGGGCAGCTTGATTCATCCTCCCTTCAAGAACATATCAAATTCATGTAAAAAAACGACCATAAATAACTAAACAACATAAATTTAAACAAGCAAAAAAATGCAATATATTGCAATAAACATATAACAATAAACATGCTCGACCTATTACCGCCTCACAACACCAGGTGGCCGACCCTCGGCGGTTTCTTCGACCGGAACGGCGCGTGGGTTCCCATGCCGCGTGGCGCTCGACGCAGGGAACAACTTGGGGTCTCCCGCGGCCATGGAGTTGCTGAAGAAGTTGCGGCCACCCTTTTGGTTTTCCGCCAGCCTCCAGGCGTCCGGACATCCGGAACCTCGCACATGGGGTAAGTATAGGTATCCTATATAGACGGTTGATTGGATGTCAACTCCCCAAGCATGAATTGTAAAGCCTCGGAGGCTTTGATCATGTTGTTTTTTTGATATCAGGGGCTCCGGACACTTCGGGTGATCACGTCGGTGAAAAAGGTGGGTGGTGGAAAGCCCACGACGTGCACGCAAGCCCTTTCCGGCTGCGGGTTCTGCGGGGTTTGCAGGTTCTGGAGTTGGGGATGGTTGCACCTTGAGATGGGATCTGTTTAAGCCAGCCCAGCGGGCCTGTAGGCTGGGACAGATGAGAAAGAAAACAAAAGAAGACAAAGTTGATGAGGAAGAGAGTGAGGGAGAGATAGGGAGAGCATACAAAGACAGAGAAGGCACAGAACCTGGCAGATATATAACCAGACTGTGGCCAGCACAAGTGTGCCACTGAAGACTCCTTTGACCGGGGGTAGATATATACTTCATGTCAAGCTTGGACAAGAAGGATGCCCGGAAGAAAGGAACGAGTCTAAGAGTCTTTCTGCTTTCGATCCTTCGATGTATATTTCGATCTTTGTAGCTTTTTGGCATGTAGAAGTGCCCCCCGGGGTCACCGGGTATGGTTGTGGTCTTGCGCATGTTCCCAACACGGTGACGGTGACGGCCGTGGATGTTCGCAACACGGTTGGACGACGGTGGTCCGGCCTCCCGCTGGCCAGGTGCGCTTCCCGGCGCTGGTGAACCACGGCGACGGCACCTTCACGCGCTTCTTGGCGTGTGAGCGATGTAGAGGTGGCAAAGAGTTCTTGCAGGCGTGGGAGCGGCGGTTCCCAGGGTGGCCGCTGGGTGGTGACCGTTGGATGTGTGGAGGAGTTGGAGTTGTTTTTTTCCAGCTGAGACCGCGTCTTCTATGGGCTGAGGGTGGTAGAATAGAATCTTGAGTGATGAAACCTCCAGGTGAAGAGGTTTTAGACCAAGGGGCTGTCCAGTGGGTACATGGGGCAGAGTTTTAACATGTTTTAATCCTTTGCCCTTTTTCCCCACTTACCAATCTCCAAGTCAGCCGTCTACTTTGACTTAAGTTCTGTAGCGACATAAAACACCTCATCGCCTCAACTGGGCTTGCAGTTTAGGTAGGATACAGGGGGGGGTGGCAGAACCAAGGAACCAGGGAATCTCATTTGTTTAAAGAGCCCAGGTTCCTCAGTTCCTCCTTTCGAAAAAGGACCGAGGAAGGCTCTCCGGACGTCCGAGGATTTCGCGCTGCCTGCCCCTGCGACGCGTTGCAGGTGTTGGACATCGATCCTCGTAGCTTCTCGGGTTTGCAGCCCTTGCCTTCGCCCCAGTGGCAGCGTGCGACGCCCGCGCCCGCGCCGCGGACGCCGCTGTGCTACGATGTGGAGTGGATGGCACTGCAAAAGGCCGGGCGGCAAAACGCGACCGCGACCGTTGAGGTGGGACAAAGGCCGGTGAAGCAGGGAGCCCGTTTGCAGTGAAAGCTGAACTCCATTCCCTTTCAGTGGGCAGTGGCAACCATGCTAGCTGGGAGTTCCTGAAGCCGAGCCCCACGGCGGTGTCTCTCGATGACCAATCACGCACCGGCCGGCCAATGTTGGTGGGGATACTGGGAGACTGGTTACTTGCCCTAGTGCTCCAGTCGTACCTCCTCAGAAGGTATGACTGGACCCTCCAATCTCACCCCAAACACCTTCTTAGAAGGTGCGACAGGAGCCCTGGGATTAATTGCAAGTGCACATCAGTGATTGTAATCGCTTTGTTTGAGAGAGAAATGTAGGCCGAACCTCAAAACAGAATCTCATGGAACCCCCGCTGCCCGTAGCCCCTGTTGATACCATCACTTATTCAATCCTTCCCAAGAACCGTACGGGCCCACCTATTTTTCAGCGCAATGCAGCCAGGTCAATCACGAGCAGCTTGGAGAAGGGGGAGTCGGATGCTTTTGGGAACTGATGTTCCACGTGCTGGAGATTTGGGGGGGCCAAAGTCAGTGAGATGCTTGCCAGTAGCAACCCTTGCCCTTGCCAGTAGATGCGTCGAATCCATGTTGTCACGGGCACGTGACTTGGATGCGAATTGGGGCGTGACCCACGCAGCCTGGAGCCGGAGACGTCAACCGATGCCCAGTGAAACTGAAGGATCGTGGGAAGCGCTCAGACAGAGATCCGCAAGTATCGTTGGGAGGTCAATCAAGGTATAACCCACAACTCTTGGGGTGTTTATAAGCACCTTCTGAAGATCCGGGACGGGAGCCCTAATGCCTAAGGTATAATTACAACGAGCAAAGTCTTGAGTGTGACCCCTCCGAGGTCTCTTGGTTCGCATGTCCATGGTCACTACCCAGAGGCCACCGACCCACAAACTGATACGTGTTTGAGGTCCAAAGCCCTACCCTGGGCTCCAAGTACCTCAGAAGGTATTTGGACCCTCTAAACCCACCCCAAACACCTTCTCAGAAGGTATTTGAGGTCCAAAGCCCTAGCGAACGAGTCCCAAACCCTGAGCCTCCAGTCGTTCGCATTGCCCAGTCCCCGGCCGGGTCGATTTAGCACGCACCGGCCATGGCCGGTCGGTTTGGATCGTGGATGCTGTACCCAAACACTCCATGTGTGCCATATTTGCATACATTGGGGTGGTTTCAGGGGTCAATGTAGGCATACCTAGAAGATCCTTTGGGCAGAAATTCTTGCCTTTTTTCGGGAAGAGCGGCTCTTCCCGTCCTGGGGCGGAAATCAGCTGTTTGCCGCGGAAATGTTTTTGTTGCCGCGAATATTCCCTTTCAGGAATCCAGTGAGACAAAGACTACATATTCTAGAGGAGTTGAATATCTTTGTGGTTTACATTGGGCATTTCTGCCTGGAACAGTCACCGCAATGAGAAAAAACAATTTGCAGCGCTTAAGTTGCCACCTCCACCTGTAAATCTGGCTACCATCACATCATATAGGTGTCTTTGCTTTTGAAGGTTTCTTGTGCGGAATGATCACAAAAGGACTAAAATCAGTCTAAAGTTGAAAACACCTGGCGCAAAAATGCCCGGGAAAAAGGCAGAAATACCCGGGAAAGAGGCGGAAATACCCGGGAAAACGGCGCAAATACCCGGGAAACCGGCGGCAATTTCCTGGTATTAGGCGGGATTCAAGAACAGTGCCTTTGATGCCTTTGAAGGGCTTGAACATATGTCGCAGCCTCTTTGTGAATGTCATGAATTTAGAAGGTGTCAGATCTTGAGATGTGAAGCTATGCAGAACGGTATGTGGTCTGCAATCATGGAAGAGACAACCTGGTAGGTTGTAATGGTTTTTTGAGTTGCTATGTTGGATTTTGCTTGAGGCAAAAACTCCCTGCTGCCCGCGGAAATTCCTACCTGGCGCGGATTTCCCTTAAATCCGCGAATCCTCCCGGGCAAACCGGACTGAGGCAGAAATTTCTGCCCCAGGTGCTTCTAGGTATATTCCATACATGGAGCGTCTGGGGTAGTTTTTGACATCTTTGGATGCGACAGACCGGGACCACTCGGTTTCGCCGCACAGACGTCTGCCCGACCGGTCGCCAGCGAGGAATATTTCCTTTACTTGGCATCCGGCCAAAGCCCGTGTGCTGGTGCCCAGCAAGGAGAGCAACATAGACCAACTACGCACCAGCTTGTTGATGTCGTGAAGGGTGGGCCTCATACATGGCTAGTAGGGTGGATGTTAGTTAAAGCCGAGAAAGCTTGTACACCTTTTGCAAAATAGTCTTCTCCCACCAGAATGATCCAGTTGAGACTACAGACTATAGTAACTACAAATTACAAATTATATAAGTTACTCAAGTGCGCTCGTTATTGCTGTATGATCATGAGCTATGAATTCCTTTAGCATGCCAACTCAACTTGACCCCCCCCACACACGGACAATCTCACCATCACCTCAAATCAACGCAGCCACAGACTGGTTGTGCAGTGATTGACATGTTCCATGGAGACAGCACCTAATTATACAACCGAGCACTGAGATGGTTCAGTTGGACAACATTGAGAGGTACCCTGCTTTCTTCACCAAGACCAAGACCTGCTTTCGCTCGGTCGACACGACTGGGTACTACACAGACAGTCTGGTTCCTGGTTGCTTCGGTCACGTGATGCCTCCTAAGCCCTATGGATCCACATACCTTCTGAGAAGGTGATTGGAGACTATTTATGTAGGCTTGGAGGGTCCAATTACCTTCTGAGAAGGTGGCAGTGGATCCACAGGGAAGGGTCACTGAAGGAACATCAACGGAACCTTCAAAAGGTCACGAACTGAAGAAGCTGGTTGTGCATGGTTTGAGGCTTCTTCATCTCAGACCACCCAGGGCCCCAGAAGCCACTGGATGCCAGGGCACGCCACCACCCCGGCCCCAGAGATCCGCCAGATGTCCCGTTTTTCATTGAGCCGAGATCCAGAACCATCCCGGTGTTGATCAACTAACTGTGAAGCTTGGATCTTTGCAAGGGCAACAATCAAGGTACATAGCTGCTGGCTGGAGAGTGGCCATTGCTGTTACCACATCATCAGCCGTGGCCACTCCTGTCGCATTCCACCAGGAGGACCTCGCATGGATCCAGAAGCGTCTCAAGGCGGCCTGCGGCGCCGTGGCGCGCGCGGGCGGCCAGAGACGGCACCCCAACTTGACGCCGACGAAGATGCGCAAGAGCCGCGGCACCGGCAGGCACGCGGTCGCGCTTGGCCCAAGATCGCGACCCCTTGCGTTTTCCGGGTTGCTGGGGCTCATGAGAGGATGAGATTAGGGGGAAGGAGGGGTCCCCTACCAAGAAGTGGATTGGTTTCAAGACATTTCGAGGCCAAACGGGCCCCCCTTCGCCTCCAAACTGTGTTCTTGGGACAAGGACCGACCAAGGAGGACGATTTGGGGGGCTGGTGGGGTGGAGGTTGAAGTCGGTGGACGCGGTCTCTCAGTTCACCCCCGAAAACGGTGTTCTGCTGTTTTGGCTGACTCCGATCAGTCAGGGCTCCACAGGCTGATGAAGAGGTGTCACTGTTGTGTTTTTCTTCTCCCAAGGTTGGGTGTATTTGCAAGCATTTCCAAGAGGTGCTCACCTGAGTGGACCATACTGGCCCTGAAGAATCGAGCAGCAGACTCTTCTTAGACTCTTGATATGTTGACCCAGGGCTGGAGAGTGTTTCAAACTCAAATGAGGGGCAGGGTATGTCGTTGTATCAATAGTTTCTTTTTGATCACCCAAGCTCCGGTCCTTGAACGCGCCGAAGCTGCTCCAGGCAGACTTTCCAAAGCTTCTCCACACTCCAGTTGCGTGAGCTCTTTGAGACTTGGCATCTTCTTCATGGGCGGCTTAAGCACCCTGGGAATCCAGAACCACCAATCCAAGTATAGGATTTCTTTCAACCTTGAGTTCTGTGACATGATGTCGATGTGCCAAATAGGAATGGATTGTTGAGACATGCTCATTTGACACCAGCATGCCCCCCACTGGGTGTGTATTTCTTTGCATTTAGATAGGGAGACCTCACAGTTCCACCCCCCTGAACAACAGACCAAGGGGGTTGTATCCTCCATCCCTATGAACATGCACACCCATACATGACCTGCAGTTGTATCCTCCATCCATCCCATACATGACCTGTTGTATCCTCCATTGTATCCCTCATCCCTTTGCTGATGCACCTCCAGTCCCAGTACCTCCAGCCCCCCCCTTCGCTCCGGATCCGTGCTTGTCTAGGAGCTCGGCCACCGTCTAAACCAGTGGGTGGTGTGCAACAGAACAGGCGTCGTCTAGGGGCTACCCCACCCCAGTTAAGGAAGGAGCTAGGCTTGGTGTTGCTTTTAGAGTGATTGTGTGGTTTTCTCCCTGTAAATCCCCTGAGCTTGAGGAACATGTGTTGATGTTTTCATAGTTTTCTTGGGTGTGTGTTGCCGCCCCAGGAGATCCGCGGGCTAGACTTCCCCGGGCACTTGGATAAGGCCTCGATGATCGCGCGCCCCTCGGTGTTGACGTGGCACGTATGTGATACGCCTCTTCTAGGACCAGACTCTTCATGACTCCATAGTTGATCTAAAGGGCCGTGTAGTGGGGATCTTATAAACAGCACAAAAACCGGGCAGGTCTGGGAATCCATTCAGCGGCAGGACTTATACGTTTGAATCTTTTTGTTTGGTCTAAGTCATTCTTTGGGGTGCCAGTCCTTCACCTTTACACATCCTAAAAATCGACCGAAAACTGATGCTCACTGAGGTTGAAGAACCCTATAGGCTATCTATCGCACTTCGGTACCCCAGGTTATGGCCCTAGTTCAGCTGATCAAGGGATTTGTTATTTTCTCATAGTAGGATCCCTATAGGTAAAATCCCTTCTATTAGAGAAGGATGTGTTTTAATACTTCCCAGTTCCTTAAGCAGATGACCTGGTAGACAGTCTGAGGCCTGGAAGCATTTGATGCCAAGCATGGCGAGGAGGAGCACTGGAAGGACCCAAAAAGAAGAACGGGTGTGTTCGGCGGAACCATGTGGAGGGGGGGGCGGAAGAACGGGGGACGTCGGAACCCACCTGTGTTTGGGTGAGACAAGGGTCAATGGTGGCATCTATTCCACACATGGAACTGCGCACCTGCGCGTTTCCGTTTCTCCCTCGTTCCAGGAAGCCGACGTGTCCTACCCGATCCCCTCGGAGTTCATCCCGGGTCCGGCCAAGCAGCCACGTGGCACTCGTTCTCGTGCTCGTGAAGCGTGGAGCGGACGAATGAGAAGAGGTGTTTTGAACATCGAAACTGTTGTGATTGCTACTTCTGAGATCTTCGATCGTCATGTGTAGTCTTTGAGGCCTATGTTTGATTTGGCCACGGGTTCCAAGCCCTAATGGTTGACTTATTGTTTTGTGTTTAAGTTGGGAGTTTGTGAACATCATAAAACGCTTCTGAAAACATGTTTGATCACACGGAGCACTTTAGAAATGGATGAACCAATGCCTCCATTGAATCTTAAGCCTTAGCATTTAGGATGAGCCCTTTTGTGGATCAACTAGGCTGCACTAGTAGGCCAATCGCTAAAACCTTGCCGCTGGAGAGGGGGGAACAAACTCACAATGTGGGCATCAAGAACACCATCTAACTCACGTGACCCATCTAACTCACGTGACCCCCGGGGGCCTGCGACCGCCCGTTCGCAGATCCCGTCCAATCCATCGTCCGAAATCGCCGCCGGCGGATCGACGACGGTGTGCTGGAGAGAAACCGTCGAGAAACCGTCGACCCGGTCGAGCCCAGGCGACAGCGGATTCTGGACATGTTGGAGCTTCCCGACATTTGGAAGGACCCAAATGTCCACCTCTTTAGGCGGGTCTCAGGCCCCGGCGTAGAAAGTTGGGAATGAGGCCAAGCTAAGCTGGGTGGTTTTGTGGCGATCCTTTTGAAAGGGCAGAAGGTGTCGTTACTAGGTGGATTTTGCGTCAAGAAAACCTCCCAGAGATAAAATTCAATTGTGGAATGACACCCGTATGGCCCCAAACTAGGTCACGAATTCACTTCAGAGCGGACAAGCATGGACAAGCTAACAGGCTCAGACCTTTTTGGCACTCCCTGAACTCATCAAAAGTGGATTGGCATCCCAATGGCCTCCATATTGGCCATGGTTCCACTTCCATGATTTTCTTGCAAAAACCGTACTCTCCTCACCCAATGGCCATCCTCACTCCACCACGCCAGGACCAGGAGGAGCATCGCAAGAACCTGCTGCGTGCCGCCCGCGGAGAGCCCCCAGAGGAGCGGGTCGAGCGTTTCCTCTGAGTCAACGCCCCTAGGAATACTGAAGATGGAACACAGAAACCCCCTTTAAAATGCACTAGGATGCTTGACGAACCTGGATGAAGTTGCAGAAAACCAATCGAAAACCGCCAGGGGCCTGAGGTGTCCTACAGACAACCACGGTGGGACGGAGGAAATGCATGAATCTTGGAGTCCATGTTGCCCTGAACACAACTCACTGGGAGGTTCCGAATCAAGACTTCGACACTGAACAGATGAGTCACTGAACAGATGAGTACAGCTTGGTGAAACATGTTCAAGCCCTGAGTTTTCCAAGGAAACTGAGGGAGTTGAGCCGAAATCGCCGGTGAACCCAAGTACTGTAAGGGTTGTTGTGAGATGGTTGAAGTTGATGCCTTTGGAATGGCATCCTGCGCCTCCCCAGCACATCCAAGGAGCCCGCCAAGCCTGAGGCAGAGGCGCAAGAGGGCCAATTGGAAAAGCAATCAGTCAGCTGCGGGAAGGACCCTGTAATAGCAAAGAGACGCAAACGGAACAGATGAAAGCGACGAGAAAAAACCGATGCTATCTTTCATTATTTCATTCAAGACATGAGGGGCTACAATGAAAATGGGGTGGTTAGGTAAATGTTAATTAACATATAATAAATCCGTACGTGAGAAAACCACCTTAGACGTATCAATGTCGTACCCCCCGTCTAACATGGTCAGGAAACAAACCCTTGTTTTTCATTGTAGACACCAAATTTGGGGTCTACTCTGTTTACCTGAGGTCCCTTGGAAGTAGTTGCCAGTATAATATTAAATATTGATAATATTGGACTCTATCACTTCGTTGTAATAAGTTGAGGTCACAAGCAGAGTCCTGGTGTCAATGAGCGAAGCAAAGCACCCACTTCATCCAAGGCGAAGTGACTGGCAAGTCACCGTCCAGTTCCAGCGAATCCGATGACGACGTCGCCTTTGCGTTGCAGAGCGCGGCGCAACCCGCGGCGCAACCTGCAGCGCAACCCGCGGCGCAACCCGCGGCGCAACCTGCAGCGCAAGCCGCAGCGCACGCCGGGGCGCAAGCCGCGGAGACGGCACAGGAGGAGGTGGAGTTTTGGCAGCCGGATTAGTGAAGAAATCGCCAGACACGACAAGTGGGACTGGAATCCATGCCTATTTTTACATTGACTCCTTTTATATAATTATGCCAGTCCCATGAAGTGTTTGGGGTTTATAGGAAGAAGATGAACGCGTCGAGCCTATGGGTGGCTCATAGAGGAATATGCTGTCGGAGTTTAGCATGATGGTGGGTTTGGTATGAGCTGGCAGGTGTTTGCTTGGGATTGGGTTCGGTTTTGATCGGGGTAGTATGGGGTATTGCGGTATTGCAGTGGCGGCTGAAGGTGACCTTGGTGGCTGGCAAGGCCTTGCTACGTATTCAGGAAATCAAGTGTTCACCAAATCTCAGTGCCCCTTATCAGTTTCTGGTCAGTAGATCTAGTTCCTTTCCCCGCCTTGGCCATTCTTCTACCAGTTTAGTAAGTTGGGGTCCCAGTCATGGTTCAATTCCACCACAAGTCACCGTTCCTGTCCTCACACAAAAGGTTTCCCCCAGTTTGTAAGTTTGTAGGCGAAGGCTTGACGCCAGGGTTCAAGTTTATGCTTGGGGTGCGGGGTTGCGGTCGCGTTCAGCTTCATTTTGCCGTGGTATATGTAATCCAAAAGAGATGCTGCTTCTACATCAACGAAGCTACTGAGTCGACTTGCCAGAAAAAACAAGAACAACTCCAACGCAGCAGAACCACGCAGTTGAATCTTCACAGATGTATGCCTTGCAGATCTATGTGTGCCCAACCTGGTAACTTGGGGAACTTTTGCCATTTACTCATGGGGATGGGTTTCCCATCGACTGCGAAGCCTCAAGGGGCTTTGGGATGTCAAATGCGGTTCATATGGGTTCTGAAGCCGCTGGGCGACCGTACGGCTTGAGCAAGGTGCCAAAAAGGATCAACAAAGTCCCTGGGGCTCCAAGTACCTCCTCAGAAGGTGTTTGGACCCTCCAAACCCACCCCAAGTGTATTGGTTCATGTGGTGCATTTGGGCATTCACCGTTTGGTGGAGTGAAAGCCACCCGTTTGGCCCTCGGAGAGCTAGAACTCATCCAAACGAGCTCGGGGCCATGTTCCCATCCACGGAAGACTGATTCTTTCAGGGACGTGTAGAGTTTTCCTGCACCTCGGATACCCTATAAGCCAGGCCCCTTTCGCAGCCTTTTTTCGATGAGGTGGGTTCCAATTCCATGTGTCGAGTGAACACCCCTACCCCCGTACCGAAGTACGTGTGGATCACCTGCTCCCGGAGGTGAGGTCGAACGAAATCCATCCCAGACACTCCATGCATGCCTGCGTCGTCAGCACCGTCAACAACTGGCCCATTGCCACCAACAGTGCCACCAACCACCCATGCTGACAATAATAGAAATACGGTGACCCCCGAATAGATGGAAACATACCAGCACCTTCCTTACGGGGTCACCTGGCTGGAAGCCTTGACGCTACGCATGGATCTCCAGACAGGACACCCCGACAGGAAGATCCGGGTATATGTTTAACTCACATGCTCCATCAATGTTGAACTCACAATATGTCCCTTGGAACCCCTAAAAAAACACGCAAACATAATTAAAATATTACATATATATATATATACCTGAACCCTCCGTCGTAGCAGAAAAAAGTGACAGAAAAAAATCTGCACATCATCAACAAAGTGTTCATGCCTTGAAAAAGCGTACCACTGGAAAGTCAGATGTAGCTTCATTCCACCTTATGTTATGTGGCCTTCAAGTCCATTCCCCTGCCACATGCTGGCACCCGTCCCATGCACACACAACACACGCTCACACACTACGAAGCGGCAGCCAGCAACCCCTTTCTTTGATCATCAGTATCAACATAAAATATGTAAAATAACAATCCGCCACTTTTTAAAATTGCGCCCGGGTTGCGGGAATTTGCGCCCGGGTTGCGGGAATTTGCGCCCAAGTTGCGGGCACCCTTTTTGGAAAAATTGTTGTAAAGCACGCCCAGAAGGTTGGAACCAAACCTTTGTGGTTTCATTTGCACATACTACTATTAGAAGAGATCATATAGGATTTCCACCCGGTCCATAGGGCCCCCAAAGGCCCACAAGGGTTGATAAGGACACTGGTCAGGAACCAGTAGGCTTTAGAATTTACATCACCAAAAAGCGCTCATATGTCCTGAAAAGTGTACATACCCTCAATTAACGCTCAAACTTCCAATAAGTGCTCCAAACCATGGTTCGCCAGAAATAAGTGCTACAAAGGATGCTTCAGGTATATATATATATATATATTAGTTGGTCCATTGGTAACCCAACCTTTGTCATCGAGGACTGGGAGCCCGATGAGGACGAAACGCGACCATGTGACCAGGTCGAGGTCACGCCGGTGGAGCCTTGGCGTAGAGCCCCCCCGCTTGGTAGTGCCCTAGGGATCCAGTCGTACCGAACCCACATGGCCCTCGGTACGACTGGACCCGACCAGGGTACCTACATGTCGCGGTGTCTCCTTCCGTTTTCGTACCTGAGAAGGTACGAAAACGGAACCCTAGGGCTGCTAGTGCAGTCTTTCAAGAAACCTCCAGGATCCTTGTAGCACTTGAGCTATAGCCGAGTTTCTTCATACATTTAGACTCGAGTGCTCAAGTGCTCAGATCCTGAGGGCTCAAGTGCTCAGATCCTATAGCTCAAGTGCTCAGATCCTCGTGTGCTTTGTAGCCTTGAGTGCACTGGGACCTTAGGGCTCAGTATGTAGAGATTGGCTCGAGTCTCACAGACTCATCCAATACATTAATGGTGGCTGCCCTACATTGGCTATTTGAGGAACATGTCCAGTCCCCAATAACCCAGACACTCCATCAGACTGGAATATTTGCCACCCTATTGACCCCTCTGGCACCACCCCTGGCCTGATCGGCAGTCCTATGCCAGTCTCATCAGTCGCGTTTGGGTGGCACGGACTGCGAACTCAGCCGAAAGAGATTTCGATCCCCAAAGTGATCACGCCTACATAACATATAATATGTGCATGGTCCATGGTCATATTTAGCTATATAGCATCCTAAATGGCTGTTGCAGGCGTTTGCGTGTATTAAGATGCATTAAGTATATCCGTTCACCTGGGACACCACTGTGAAAAGCTTTCCATTTCAGGCGGAGCCAGCAGCACAGACAGCTGAGCCTGTGCAGCCGGTGACGGAGCAGCTGACTTTGGAGCTTGAGGACCTGAAAAGTGCAGGTCTTTCTGGGAGGGGGGCGTTATGCTTTTTACTGGTTTTTGCAGGTTGGGATGTTTTTGGATGCCTCCTTCTCAGGAGTGGGGTCTTGTGCGCAGCGGCGCCATTGGACAGGGTTGCTGTCGAAGGGTTGCTGTCACCGCGAGAAGCAGAAGGAACCCACCACCTTCCGTATGGGGAATCGTAGCAAGACTAGATTCCAACGAAACTTTCCGAATAGCCTCAAAGTGCCCAAGTCCACCTTCCGTGAGGTCTTAACTTTTCGTTTATGTGTTGAATTATGTGTATCTACTTTTCGTGTACAGTGTAAATGTATTCTCCTCTATTTTTGTATCATTTGTCTAAGTTGGACCATTGGAGCTACCGAGCTACATGAGGCAGCCGGGGCAGGTGCCTTGAGCACGGGCGCTGACCTCGATTCTCAGGAGCCTGACCAAGCCCGCGTGCCAGAAGAGCCTGACCTAGCCCAAGCCCGCGTGACCTGGTTTGGAGAAGGGTCAGGGAAGTTTTTCCATGTGACCAGATCCACGCTGCACCCGAACAAAACGAAGAAGACCGGTGTTCAACAGAGGATGAACACCGGTGCCGGTCTCGACCGGAGTCGAGTCTTTCAGGTCAACTCAGTTTGAGAATCGGTACTTCGGCTTGACGCCAGGGAGTTGGAGAATCCACTTAGAGATCTTACCTTAAGTGGAAAGAACACTCCAGCAACTCTATACATCCGACCTCCGCATTGGGCGCACCCAGCACCACCAGGCTGTGAACTGTTCCCATGAGGCATTGTTGAAGCAGCCGCTGAAGCGCGCTTCTTGCACCGTGTTCAGGATGGACACGTTCCAACGCCTAGGTTGGCCTTAAAACACTCTACCTGGACCCAACGCTTTGAACGTTAACTCTACACCCCCGGGTATTGTAGAGGAACATGGAAGACCCAAGGGGCCATACATGGCCATAGAATCCACGTAACCATGTTAGTTCCTGGGAGTGTGCATGGTTCGAAATAAGGTGACTTCCTTTACTACAAGCTACTGTCTACTGTTGGCTTCTCCTCCATTCGTGTGGACCTGGGATGACAAGACTGATTTTTCCAGCAAGTGTTATATGTATCCTCGGGCCAAGCGAGCAGTTTGTACATCTACGATATTCTGTGTTCACCTCAGGGCCGGCATTGCATGGATCAAATGGAGCTCCTACAGATTGTTTTTTGCCATCATAGATTCTACGAACTGGTCATGTCTTGCTGAAGGATGGTCAATTCATGTCAATTTGTTCGGATTGCACTCATCTCCACCGGGCACAAATGAATTGGGTGCAATCTTTGATTTGGGATATCAGGGTATAACATCCTATATATTGTGTAATATATAATATATATATATATAATAGTACTGGTAATGCCAGCATACGGTCGCTAGGACTTAGAAGACCTTTTGTTAATATGGTTGTTGATGCCCGATGCGATGGAAATCCACCTACTGTACCTGGGGAACTGCCACTGTTGAGCGATGCACAGTCTGAATCGAGTTGAGGCGAAGGAGGTGGAAGTGATTGAGATCCCTGCAGTGGAGCTGAAGTCCCATGAGCAGGTGGAAGAGCCTACTACACGACTTTTGTTGGCCCCAAAGCAAGAACTCTTGGGCTCAAGGGATGTTGTTTACTCGGAGTGTTTACAAAGGATTTTGCGGGGGAATGGCCCGCCCCCCCGTTTTTGCATGTTTTTGCACTAAACCAAGAACTCTTGGGCTCAGTTTTCTGACTTGGTTTGCAAGGAGTGTTTGCAAAATAATGTTTGAGGGGGGAGTTGAACGCTGGAACCCATCATTGGATTTGGCCACATACAGACTGAGGAGGCGTGTGATGAGTCACATTCTCCTCCTCGACTCTCTCTCTCTCTCTCTCTCACTGATTCTCCGGCTAATTGGCCATAGATTCTAGCCTGATTGGCAACATCGCACATGGCTGAATGCTAATGAATACACATGCTTTTGGCTACAGCACAATTGGTACTAGGCAAAACGTTCGAAGATCGGCAAAACGGGTGCCGTATCTTCTCATCTCCCAGGTGGGTTTGGAGCTGAACACCTCTGCCCAACTGCTGGCCGAAGCGCTCATGAGCCTCGGGGATGAGGAGACAGCGGAGACGACGTATCGTCTCCGACGTGTCGTCTCCGACGTGGGGCGGCGCCCCTGGGGTGGCTGCAGTCAGCGGTCAGGTCATCGTCAACTGAGTGACGCCGTCCCATGTTCTCAGGGTTTGTGGGACGGACCGATACGCTTGGATATGTTGACCTGTGAGAGACCGATGAGACCTTGAACCACCCCGACCCCGACCCCAGCTCTGCACGATTGGACTGAAGACCAAGTGACTGTGAACTCCGATGCAAAGCTGAAACACTGAAAAAGGTTCTGAACATGCACGAGCCAGGCATCAAACACAGATCATACAAATCATGGAGGTGCATAGATGCCGCAACCCCCCAGACTGGCACCTGCAAGTCTAAATCCGGCCTTGGCTGTGACGGTCGGCCCACCTTCTTTGCTGCCCAACCGGCAGAGAAGGCACCTCCTTCTCGACGGCGGAGGGGACGAGAGTGTATACCACCCAAATACTCACTCAGTCCTACTTCGCATGGTCACAGTGCAAGTCCCCTGCTGGGGCACCTTGGAAATCGGAAAGGCCACTTGGTGAGGGCGGCCAGCCATCATAGAATGTTCGGCTCTTGGCAAGCTGTTTTGACGTGATCGGCTTGCTTGGCGGAGCCACCCTATAGCTTTCCTCCATGTGCTTAGCTGCAAAAGGGGCAGTGGCTAGGACACACACCAGGTCAGTGGTGTTGGAAATCGCCCAACAGCAACCCTTGACATTGCCCAGGTTATCGCTATATAGTGGTAAAGTCATTGGCCACCGTGCCTGCTTCATGGGGCAAGATTGATCACCTTGCAGCAACGTGCTGACGACAAATCACTTGGCCACCTTGTTCAAGGTGCCACTTGGGCAGGCAACGTTGGCCACCTTCCAACAAGACGCCAATGACAAAAAATTACAGTATATAATGAATTGGATTGCCAGGCAGGCAAGGAGTAGGTGACCTCAAGTTCCACAAAGCTAGAAGCTGCCTGACAAACAAGTGAACCGCACGCGCACACACACACACCCACTCGTTGCCAGGAGGAGGAAGGCCTGTTGAGCTCGGCAGTGGAGGACTGCCTCCGCCACAGAAGCCTCTAACGTTCGGTGATACCAATGTGAAGAACCACCGATACGTGGGGGGGCTCATGGTCTCCTCTCAAGTGTTTTGTGAACAAAGTAGGGGTCAAGCGGTCAAACTGAGTGCCAACCTGCCTCGAGACCTGTCGCAATGCCACGAAGCAGCCAGGAGGAGGATGCAGGAAAGGAGCCAATCGATGATCCTGTGGAGGCTTGTTGACTCAGAAAGCTGCACATGAATTCTCAGATTTCTAAGCTACTGTACTTCCCTAGGGCTCCAACCATATCCTCAGAAGGTGGTTAGACCCCCCAAACCCACCCCAACCATCTTTTCAGGAGGTGGTTGGAGCCCTAGGGCTTATAGATTCACCCTCAGGGCATTTTGTTTTGTTTGCTTGCACTGTTCTTGATTCGCTACTTCCACATAGGGGAGATCCCGAACAAGATGATCACTTGACCAAAAAAAGGAAAAATGTTCAGTCGCTGACCTTTGGACAACCAGCAAGACTAGCAGGGGCGCAGGGGCCTTAAAAGCGTTATATACATAAACTATGACAGAGACGGAAGTTAACGGAAGCCACTATAAGATTGCCTGTTTTAACATGTTTTAACAACATGTGTTTACATTTATCCATTCATGTCCTGAAGCCCCTTCAGTTTCGACTCCAAGTCACCTGCACCTGCGCCTTCCTGCTGTCGTTGTTCCCATGCAAGGCCTTGGAGGCGGAGGCTGCTCAACTGGAAGAAGAGGCACCAGTTTCCCGGACCCCAGACCATCCAGCTCTATATTCACCCTTTCGGCCTCCTTGGAGTCAGGATGTAAGGGATGAAGCCTCCTTGGAGTTAGACGTGTCCTCCTTGGAGCATGTTGGTGCCACTGAGATTTGACCGAACGTCGTGACGTTGTACCCGCCAACGTGGACCTTCGTTTTAGGGAGATTGGGCTCTCCACGGTCACACGCCGCGGAAAAACCACCACTGTGTGGTCAGGGGCGATATCAATGGCGGTTGTGGATGTTGGATGGTCTAGTCCCGGATCCCAGCCACGACCAGCAGAAGCCAAAAACGACATATCCAGAATCTAGCATGTCCTTGGGCTTTGTGTTGGAGGGAAACTGATGAACTTTGTGATCCCAAGTGACGCCTCAACCCCATTACAGAAAAGCCTCTGGCCATTCACTTTTGAGCCTCAATGACTGAATGCCCTCCCAAGGCTCCACTGCCCACAACATGCAGTTCGTCACCTATCCCGTGACCCTCCTTGGGGCTCCGGATATACCCCTCCTCAATTCAAGACTCTTGGTGAACCATTCCCAAATTGGTGATTTAGATACCATCCTGCAGCATGCAGATTAACATGGACCCTGCAAACTAGGGTGGTACACGAGACCAGTCATACAGGATCTTACAGGGGTTCATTTTCACGGCCCATGTGACTTTGCAGAGGGGTCTATGGCCTATATGGCTTTGCCCCAACATCGCAGCATTGCTTGGTGACTGGAGGTCTTTTGGGGAACCTGAACCACGTCAACCCTTCACCACTCGGGTCAGAGGCCGCCGGCTTCGCAGCTTTGGCTTTGGCCTTGGAGGAAGCTGAGCGAGACTTGGGCAGAAAGGCTCCATCCGAAGCGATCTGCTGCGCTCGTCGGAGTCGCACCGAACTGTCGTATCCGAAGTCGTCTCCGAACTCGCACTGAAGTCTTTTCGGTTCCAGGAGGAGCCAGGAGGGTGCAGGAAAATACAGAGCCTGAGGAGGTCTTTTAACCCTACAGTCCTCAATCATGATGGAAGTGGAGCGAGCGAAAACCACCTGCTTGGTCTTCGGAGACCTCATGGTCCTCCGAATTGCCCATCCACGTATCCACCCTGATGATGTAAGAGAGCAAATCAATCCACCAAACCCGACGTAGACTCGCAAGATATCTTAAGAGATTTTACAATTCCTCCAGAGTTTGCATGAAGTACGTTCGACTTTGGGGGGTGCTTGGAGCTCTGCTCAGGAGAAGAGGCTGAAGCTGCGGAAGCCGCACCTTCTCCGCCTGTGAGGCAGCTGACATTGCTGGGGTGGCCCAGAAGGAGTCCGCTGGGTATAGATCGAATCGTATATCTATAGAAATGGACTATGCCGAACATTGACCAGCTAAGCTGTCCACTCAAGCACACCATCAGGGAAAATCTGACCTACACATATTGCCTATACACGCAAAGCACCGCAAGAAGCTCCCCAAAGAATGCGATAGGAAGCTCAATCGGAGCGTTACATGATCAGACTTTTTTTTTCCCCACCTGCCAGGCAGGTGAGGGTTGTTAGATTTTATCACAGTTGTCCTTCCTCCGCCTCCGCCGCCTCCTCGTCCTCCTCCTTCCTCCTTCCTCCTTGCTTCCTTCCTCGCCAATCTGCTTCGCCGATCTTGTCTGGCCAGCTCCGGATCGCAGTGTGCACCCCTGGACCTCAACCGCAAGGATCCCCTCGCAGTGTGCACCCCTGGACCTCAACCGCAAGGATCCGATCGCAGT